GGGGGGCAGGGAGGCGGTGAAATGCCATGGGTTACATCTAGATAACACATCTACAATTTCCAGAAGGAAAACCTGCCTTTAAAATGTCAAGATCTCCTAAATTGTATGTTGGGAGTGTGAAGGTCCTTGTGTCTATAGATCTCCAAGGAGACCAGGAGTGTTAAACACACAGGATTGTCCTCTCAAAGGAATGAATGTATAACCTGTTCTTCCATCCAGAAAACTGAGACTAGGAAGTGTTTAACAGCATGGTGATCTGTGTTATCTGTTGGGCCAGGCCAAATCAAGCTCCTACAACCAGGATTGGAGGTGGCTAGAAATCTAAATGGCCCTTACAGTTCACCCTCTCCAGCTCCCACACCAGCACTGGAGATACCCAATTGTCTAACTGATCCTTACATTATCTGTATACCAGAGGCTCCTCCAACCAGGACCCTCTAAGGCTAAGAGCCCAAATGACCTCTACTTATCTGTATGACAGAGACCAGGCCCGACCCTTCCTTAGGCCCTTAAACTAGCACAGGTAGCCTATCTCTAGAACCCTTCTTGGAAGAAATGGCATGCACCTTGAGTTGAATTTCAATGTAATTATGCTTCCTTGTGCATGAGGGATTGTATTACACAAGGAAACTTTTTTTCCAAATTATGTTGTGTTTAAATATACTGGCATCAGACTCCCTGAAGTTTGATCAAGGTTGATGAAGCCTGTCTGAACCAAGTTTTCATTCTTATCTCCGCAGATCCCTGACTGCCTTGACACCTGCAGAGACCTCCACTCCTCTTAGTTATACATAAAAAATAAGCTAAATTTTAAAAAGCAAGATTTCCATTATAAATAACATATGGGATGTTTTCATCTCTGTGATTATGTTTACATTCTTGAGGTATCATTTATATCAATGTATCTATCACTGCCATGCCAACACAATTTAGTGTTGTCAAGAAGACTAGAAAAATTTCTTCACCTCATTAAACTAAATGTTCTCCTTGATAGTCCACCTAGTGGGGCATGGGAATCCAGATTTGTACTTCCAGCTACCCAAGAGGCTGAGGGTTGCAGGTGTGAGTTCAGCCTGGGCAACTTAGCAAGACTCTGTCTTAAAATACAAAGTGAGAAAAGGCTATCATACTGCTCAGTCATAGGGCAGGTGTGTATGCAAGCCCTAGACTCCATGTCAATACCATAAAAAATGGGGGGGGGGCAGGGGTGATTCCATTATAAATTACTGGTTCTCTGGTGTTCTAGTTACACATACGAGATCAGACACCCTCCTTCAAGGGATTTTTGCTGACATGGATGAGTCCTAAAAAAATGCACAGTACTTTATTTTTCTTTTCTGAACTCATCAAACACTTTTCTCTCATTTTATATAGCTTATTTATATAATGAAAACTGTGTCTTCTTTTAAGCTTTTCAAGACAGGGTATGTGTGTGTCAGAAAGAATGGCTACTTGCAGATCAATTATAGAAAATGTTGGTTAAATAAAAATTCATTTTAAAAAAGAGAAATGTTGGTAGATATATACATATAGGTATATGTTGGGTTTTTTCTGTATAGCCCTGGCTGTCCTGGAACTCACTTTGTAGACCAGGCTGGCCTTGAACTCAGAGATCTGCTTGTCCCTGCCTCCCAAGTGCTGGGATTAAAGATGTGTGCCGCCACCACCCCATTCAATATATGACTTAGAATCTCCACATTTTGCTTCCATTCATTCTTTCATTCAGCAAATACTTACTAAACATGACTTTGTGCCACTTTAGTTTACTATGGAGGAGTCAGAGGAGTGGGGCTGGGAGAGCCCACTGTACATCTGAGTGGTCTAGAGCTAGAGCAGGACGGAGAGCAAGAAGAGAGCCTGGAGGAAAAGACAACAGTGACAGCAGCTTGGGTGCCTGCGGAAACACTAAAGCATTGGGGCTTACTCAGTCTTGAGAAGAGGGTTAGTAAGTGTTTCACGTATATGAGAGTTACATTAAAGAGACTGGTGACCTGCTGTGACCTGGCTGCTGAGGGCAAAAAGAAATTACCTTTAACTTCAGGAGGTGGGGGGGAGGGGACACATAGCTATATTAGACACAGAGACCAACATGACAGAGGAGGTGGCTCAGCAGTTAAAGAAAGGAACCTGGCTCCTAGCCCACACGATGGAGAGAAACATCTGACCCCTACATGTATCACACACAATTAAAAAATAATAATAATGCAATTTTTAAAAAGCCGCAGAGAAAAATTCCCCAATGGAAGCAAACTCTGAGCCCAGCAGCGCAGGAGACAGGAGGTGGGAGTGGGAACTGGGAACAGCATCTAGACCAGCAAGGCAGGGTGATGAGTGAATGCTGAGGAACAAGACACCGGAACAGACCATGGAATCAAGAGCATCTGGGGAATAAAAGTCTCATTCTGAATTTTCCACAATTTCTTGCAGAAATTTCCTTCATTATCCTTACAAGACTGCCATTGGATGACATCACACTGTAAATTTTGTGAAAGTCTGTCTTGCCTGCCATTTGGAAAACACACTGTGGAAGTCACTCCATCAGCTGCAATGGAACAGTGGGTCATGCTGGCTGACTTAGAAGAAAGCAAATCTCTAGTAACTCATCTGCTATCAAATGGCAGATGCAAATATTAGAGACACCCAGTTTAACTCTATCCCAATCTCTCATCAAGCAATAGCACGTAGTTATTCCTTGTCCCGAAGAGGCTCTGACGCACACTGCAGTTTTGATTTAAATCCTGGGCAACTGAAAGTTCTCAAAAACGCCCCCGTGTTTAAGAGCGGCTGGGTTCCCATTCCTTAAAGACACAGGCTCGTGTATCGCACAGCAGTTTTCTCTGAAAGCATTCTTTGCAAGATTTATTAAATGAAAATCATATTACAGGGACAAGAGGGGTAGCTCGGAAGTTAAAAACACTGACTGCTCTTGCAGAGGACATGGGTTTGATTTCTGGCAGCTCAAGATCATCTGAAACTCCAGTTCTATGGAATCTAAAACCTTCTTCTGGCTTCCAAGGGTACCCTACATGGAGATGACACACAGAAACACATGCAGGCCAAACACCCATATACGTAAAATCAAGATAAATAAATAAATAGAAATACAACAGTAAAAAGAAGTGTTTTCAAGTCTTTGTTTCTCAGATACAATCGTGCTTCATGCTATTCTTAAGACCGAGGAAGAGTGCTTTAGTGACAGACACAGGCATGTCCCCGCATACATTTGTGAATTGAGCATAGTTGGAATGTGTCTTTATCATTGTATTGTGCAGATACTGGACTTAGCCACTGATTGGAAAGGTATTTAGAATCAGTTGTCAAGAACGAATTGTTGCCATCTGTAAAATAAATGACTAAAGGTATGAGTAGCATAATGAAATTCAAAAATCCAGATGGATGAGGAGAGAGATAGTGTCAAAATCCAAATCTTGCTTTTGTCTCTGTCCAACTTTCATGGAGGGGAAGACAGCTCAGGCAGCAATGATAGCACAGATAGGCCTGGCCTCCCACTGTGGCGCCAAAAATAAAGTTCCTGACAGGGGTGTTTCCATTGCAATGCAGGATCCAGGAGAGCCAGATGTAGGGTGGGCTCCTTGTACTTGTCCCCCAACCCTGCTTCTCCAACTGTAAGTTAAAGCAACACAAAATCATGTCCTATTTGCTGACTGAAGAAAAGCGAAAGTGCACAGATTCTGAATCGTCCCATATTGGCACCAACATTTTTCTAGAGCTAGAGAAATCCAGATGACAGGAATAAAAGGCCTGTCTATTCAGCATAAATTGAACAGAGACCCGTCATTCTTTCTGTCTTGTTGAATTGTGATCATCTTACCAAGGAAACAGTCATGGAGTGTTGGGACCTTACACCAAACTGTTCCTTGTTTTTTTTTTTTTTGTTTTTTTTTTTTTTTTTTTTTTTTTTTTGCTGTTTACAATTCACATACTGTCAGGACCTGTATTGCCTGCCCACAGCAATTCGGGACAACAATTAGTACAGGGCCAGGAATCAAACACAAGCATGCTGGCTAGGGGTTGCTCCTACCTTGCCACGATGACTATTCTTTTATGACTAGTTACTGTTGTATTCTGTTGTCATAAACTGAACCCACACACACAGTGGGTACTATATGTCTGTACCCCAAATATCACCTAATAGTAAGCTATCTTTCCTAAGAAAAAGGCAGCACTAATGCAGCTGATATCCATAGTCACAAAACGAAAGCTCAAAGTGGACTATAAGCTTTTAACTCTTCCAGAGTAAGGATATGGAGAACAGTTCATAATGTTTTCTAACGTGAGAGAAACCAAACAAAGGAGTAGAAACACTATGATTCTCAAGTCTAAAATATAAATCACATATAACATAAAGAAATAGACAATTGAAATGCATCAAAATGCTAGTGGTTTGTTCTAAGTCAAATTGAAGTCCATTTCTTTTTCTGAATTTTTTGGGAACTTTGGAATGAACATGGATTGCTATATAACAGAAAAAAGGCATCAAACATTATTCTTAAGACACATAGATTTTCAAAAGTTGTCCATTTGGTTAATTCATGTGATTTGTTTTCTGAGTACTGTTAGTTCTTAGCATTTCTGCCATGGACATCCACTTTTTTCCTTTCTTTCTTCTTTATCTTTCAGTGCTAGTGACTGAACACAGGGCCTCACTCGTGTTAGACAAGCTTCATTCCTGGCCAGACGTTCCCTTTTAACTGCAAGGCAGTGTTGCCCTGGAGCTTAAGATATCCAATTTCTAGAGACGAACACACATCTAGTCCTCCTTGATGTGCCTGTTCTCCTAAAGACTGGCTGTCTGACAGGAGAGAGGACCACTCTCTCAAAGCACAAATCTTCATTTATGAATGATCACAGACAAGAATGATTCTTTTAACTGCCCTATCTAGTGTTTTCCATGACTCAGTGCTGCTGTGTTTTGAGCAAGAGTCACTGAAGCCACAACAAAAACAGTACTTGAGGCAACCGACAGGAAAGGAACTCACAGATGAAATGTGTGCGCAGCTCGCAGCAAACTGCAAAATTCAGCAACACGCTGGAGTCCACTCTCAAAACTCCACGAGCCTTTCAGAGAATTCTATCTGGGGGAATGATTAGATTGGGTTTAGAGCGATACTTCAGCTTGATTTTTATTTTAATACTAACACAATTCAACACTTAAATGAAAACATCTGGTTTCGTTTTCTTTACTGATTAGGATAACCAGAGACTCTGAGACACGAGCATAACCCCACGATTTATTTCATATGCAAATAAAGTTCCTGGCTTGAGTGCAAATTTTATATTTTTGACTATGCCTTCAGAGCTAATTACTCCTCATATCCCCTCCTGGATCCAGAGCAAGCTTGAAGAACCGCTATTCATTAAGAAACTCATCCTTGTAAAATGGCTACAGGCACAGCCACCCTCCCAAGTAGACTTTAATTAATTAAAATCTAGATCACTGGAATAAATGTCAATTTTGCTTCCTCCCCCACCCTTTCCCCGAAGGCTGTGACCCAAATCCAAAGATGAAAGGTCAAATAGAGAGGAGGAGAGGACACATGGTTTAGCAGCACAAGATCCATTTCTATCACAGACATAAAGTAGGTTCAGATTTGCCCTGAGTCTGTCCTCAGAATGCCTTTTTACACCAAATATCCTCATTCACTCCCCTGAGACATAAACAATCCCTAAGCCTCATCCTTGCATCAAGTTTGCTGTAACAGGGTGGTAGGGACTTTCATCCTTGCTAATGAAAACCTGGATTGGGCTCTGTGTGTCTCAAAGACAAATGCCATTCTGGATCTCGACAATGCCCAGATTGTTCTAGAGCATCCTCCTATTTAAAGGGGCTGGGCTTCATGCCTGGCTTTTCTTCCTGGTGCATCACCCCCTGGGTGAATCCTGGGCAGTCACTGACAGACACAGAGTGACAGCCTGTTAAGGATTCATCCATGTCAGGCAATTTGACATTTCAGAAAATGAGGACCTGTTTTCTCCCCAGGTGTTGCTTCTGTTAGGCCCAGATATGAGTTAATTACCTCTGGAACAAGGCTGGCAGAGTGGTAGAGAATTTACTTAACATTCATGAGGCCCTGGGTTCCATCCCCAATACTGCAAAAACACTCCAAGACTGTGATACCAAGAGCAGAGCCCAAATAGTGGAATACAAATGTCTATTTTACAATCAAGTGTCATGGTCTCATTTCATGGTGTTCCAAAGTTTGACGTAGGAGGAGGCAAATAATTCAACATACAACTGCATTTATTTAGCAAGCAAAGAGTAAACAAACAGAGGAAAAGAAATGAGCTGTAAGTCACAATTAAGTGAGCTTCAAATAATAAACTAGCCATTGCACTAAGCCATGACTCAGCATGTCTGCACCACACTCAAACTAGCAATGGGTCTCATTTCAACAGAGAACACAGGTTACACCACTAGATTTGCATTTGTGCACAGTCCTACATTCTCTACCCATGCAGAGATGCAGAGCAACAACCGTGATTTTTTTTAAAGTTTTATTTGTATTATTCTGTAATGATGTGTGTGTATGTCTGCATGTGGGTGTATGGATGTGCTTTACCGAAGAGGCCATAGGCATTGGATCCCCTGGGATCCTATGTAAGCTGCTCTTGTGGGGGCTATGAATTGAGCTCTGGTCCTCTGCTGGAGAAGCACACACTCTCAATTGCTGAGCCATCTCCCCAGTCCCAACAATGGTTATTTATAACCCATCCAAGTTCAGGCAGTAGCTACAATGTCATAAAATGCCTGCTAAACAAATCAACTAGATTCAGTTCTATTTTGGGTACTCACCAATCAATCTAGCTCATATTTTAACCAGTAATAAACTGGCAAACCACATGCAAAAACACAGTTTCAGTAGTGAAAAACAGTCCAGTTCTGAACATTTGAAGCCACATTTGTTTTGCTTACCGTGACTATAACAAGTAAAACAGAAAATGAGGCAGAGGCACAGCTGAGCTAATAGTCTGGGACATGGCAAGGACTGCACTCCCATCGGATCGCCCTGCTAAAATGTGAAAGTATGCAAAAGGGTTTTAGGAGTTTATATCAGCCCAGATCGCTGATCCCCAAATAAACACAATCTACATCGCCTAGGAAATCAAGCTAACATCTCTCTCCTGACTTCCTGAATGTTTGGCCTGCTGAGCCACGCCCACCCACCCCCACCCCCCACACACACACCCATTTTCACCCCTTAAGGCACATCGTAGCAAGAGACACAAAAAAGGAAGAAGGAAGTCTCATGAGTTCTGAAACTCTGAAAAGAAAAAAAAAAAAATGACAGTTTTGCTTAATTCAAGTATTGAGTAAATAGAATTGCTTAATTATTTTTAAAAAGAGGCACTAGTAGCTATTTTCTATTTGACAATTTAATTTGTAAGAATGAGGCTTCACAATAAGACACTTGTCCCACACAGGAACTGCTTTACTCCTCAAAACTGAACAACACTGTCCACATACTCTGGCTGGACTCACAGCATTGCTAACACGGCCTCCCATGTATTCTTAAACACCACAGAATGACAAGCCTAAAACCCACTAACAGAGAAGAGCACAAAGTGAAAATGCATTCCCATTGGAAAAGGTAAATAAAATAGATATTCAAGAAATGGGTACTTGTGGGAACGGGAATATTTGATACATTCTCAGATGGGTGTCTACTACATGATGGTATTACAAGGAAAGAACAGCCAAGTGTAAATGCTTGCAATCCTAGCACTTGAGAGGTAGGGTGATTGGGGAATTCAGGGTTATCCTCAGCTACCCTGCAAGTTGCTGCTAGCAGGAGCCACCTGAGCCCCTTTCTCAACTAAAAATAAATAAATAGAAAAGAAAACAATTTGCCATTGCTTCATGAACACTCAAGGGATTCACAGGGGGTAGGATTCATACTATATCCCAGGCACCATGAATGTTCCAGGAACCCACAGGGGGGAAAAAAAACAGTTTTGTAAACATGTCTGGTATTGACCTCCCAAGCCGTGAGTCTATTTATGTTTTCATGATTAAGATGGACACAGAAAGCTCAGATAATACCACATTGCATATTTCTCCAATCAATATTCCAAAACAATTAAAGCAGCATCCATTAAAATTGACGGCATGGCAACAGTGGCCAAAGAGCCGCACCCTGGCCCAAGCCACAGCTCCCTTCCCCAGGGAGCTCTAACGACTCCAGCAATGCCAGTGACTGTAGTTAGAAATCAAGCAAAAAACAACAGAAATGTGTACAAATGGCATGATTTTCCCTACAACTGGGGGTGGGGGGTGTCCAGAGAGACCTTTAATTTTCACCCAATTTGGCTTTTCTTGTCTATAATTTGCAATACTGCCAAGTTACAAGTTAAAGACTCTGCCAGGTTTTCAGTTTCGTAAGCAAAGAAAGAAAAGAAAAGTCATCGTGCTTTCTTTAAATGGGGAGAATGTGTCTATGTGTCTCTGTGTGTTTATACCTGATGAAATCAGTTACATGTGAGGTTCTTACTCAAAATTCCCCAAGTTCCCCCTTTTCTCTTACTCTCTCGATTCCTGTCAGAACATGAAAAGAAAATATCTAGCCCTGATTAAACTGAGAAAGACTGGGAAAGAGTTTCCAGCTACAAATGCTGCGATCTCATTGCTTTGTGATTCAGGTAGGAGCTATGTACCACCTTTCTAAAACTTTATTCTCTCATGACTCACATCAGAAGGGAGGCAAAGTGAGTAGTTTCAGCCTGTACAAGAGTAAATATAAATTCTAGAAATGTCCCCAAAGCAAACTGACAGCCAGAGGCAGCTGCTCAGAGGCAATAGAGGTCACTCAGAGTGGTGGAGATTGGGGTAATTTCCCGTTAGACTAGAGGCTGAGTCCCTGAGTTCAAGAGAGATGCTTCCAGGACTTAGGACACTCTGAGCTTTACAAACAGGAGGCTGTGGCAAAATCAGCCTCCCAAGGACTTTGATGCTTTGTTTAAAAAAAATAAAATAAAAAATAAAAAAAAAAACTGAGATGGATTTTCAGTTGTAAATTCTGGCAAATAGTCACACCAGACCTTTCAAACCTCAGCTTCCTCCCAAAGCCAGGAGGGTGATAGAAGCAATCGCATGGAGGTTAGATGTGAGGAAGGAAGTGTGCATGCATTGTCTGCAATGACTACCTTGGTGTGGGCATTCCTGAAGGCAATTTGACCCCATGAATTAAAGGCCTGAAAGACTATGCCTGCCATAGTACTCAGACAAAACACACACACAATAAATAAAGGATACTCAGTGTAGCATTGCCCATGATAGAAAAAGACTGGAAAGTAGCCCAAACATTTAATAACAAGAATCTTGTTAGAAAAAGTGTAGTACCAAGCCGGGTGGTGGTGGTACTCGCCTTTAATCACAGCACTCAGGAGACAGAGGCAGGCAGATCTCTGTGAGTTCGAGGCCAGCCTGGCCTACAAAGCTACACAGAGAAACCCTGTCTGGAAAAAACAAGCAAACAAACAAAAAGTGTGGTACCAAATATGTATATGATAGTGCATGCCTTTAATCTTAACATTCAAATTGCTGTGAGTTCAGGGCTGAACTGGACTACCTAGCCAGTTCCAGGCCATCAGGGCCACAAAGTGAGATTCTGCCTCAAAATAGATAAATAAATAAAATAAAATAAAAATAAAAATAAAATGTGGTGCCTTCTTTCTTAGATTATGGTACAGAAATTTAAAAACTGTGTCACTGACCAATAATTAACCAACAATATAAGTTACATAAAAAGCTATAAAAGTTAAAAGCATATTTAGACAATAAATTTGCTTACACTTCACTGTAAGATAAAAGTGAGAAGACTAGGCCTTTCATGCAGGCAGGCCTGCGTTTGATCAATCATAAAAAAGAAAAGATAAAAAGGAAAGAGAGATCAACACCAATAACAGCATTACCTCTAGGTCAACAGTTCTCAAACTGTGGGTCCTGACCCCTTTGGAGGATCATATATCAGATGTCCTACATATCAGATGTTTACATTATGATTCATAACAGTAACAAAATTACAGTTACAAAATAGCAATGAAAGTAACCTTATGACTGGGGGTCACTACAATGTGAGGAACTGTATTAAAGGGTCGCAGCATCAGGAAGGTTTAGAACCACTGCTCTCCATGATAGCCAGAGAAGCAAACTTGGGAACAGGAGAACCGGCTCAATTTAAGAGTGCTCACTGTTCTGAAAAAGAGGACCAAGTTGGGACCCAGCACCACCTCAGGCAGCTCACGGAAGCCTGCAACTCCAGCTCCAAGGGATCCAATTCCCTTTCTGGCTATCATGAGCACCTGCACACATACACATACAGACATACACATGAATAATGAAAATTTAAAGTAAAAGGTAAACTTTATCTTCTTCTTTGTGATTTTCTGTATTATTCAAACTTTCTACAATGAAAATATATTTGTATAAGCAGGTGAGCCACAAACTTATTTTTAAAATCGGGTACCTGTGGTTCTTCCAAAGAAATGGTTTCTTCACTTTTGTCCTAGCAAGGCAGCCTGACTGCTACCCTACATTCAAGAGATGCAGACTGTATTTCACCAGGTTTTCTGCCTTCACTGAGTTCTTCTCCTGAGTTAGCATCAGCAAACAGTTATAGGAAATTAGACCATAAGAACCAAGTGCCTCTTGAGTTTCTGTTTAAGTAAATGAGACTGTGGGTGGCCTAAGAATCTCTTAGTGAAAATGAACCACCAGGAAATTATCTTGCCTTTGATCTTAACTGATGAAAGCGTTACTGTTTTGTTCCTTGATTACAACTTGATTCAAAATGATGCTATTCTGTTCATTTATCTATTCAGTTGTTAAATACGACACACCTCTTGGATGGTGACACTGTGCCAGGTCTGCAATAAAAAGAAGAAAAGGCTAGTCCCTTTTCTGATGATAGACCTCTGTCTAAAAGTCTTCAAAGTGTTCACGGTCTTCCCTTCGGTCACCCTCAGCTATAGCTGTTTCTTTTTGTGTACCAGCCTTTTGCTCAAAGTTTGTTTTCAGGGAGTGGGAAAAAAATGGCCCAGCAATTTAAGAGTGTATATTGCTCTTGCAGAGGATCCAAGTTGAGTTCAGTTCCAACATCCATCTTGGGCAGCTTACAACTACTTGTAACTTCAGTTCCAGGCGATCAGATGCTCTTTGGGCCTCCAGCCTCTGGCCTCCAAGATACACAAGATTTAGGGACTTTTTTTTTTTTTAATGGAAAATCCAGTCTCTGCCTCTAAAAAATCTGCCTCTAGAGGAGTGAAGTGAATTGTGCAGTTTTAACAAGTTGCCTGGATGTTTTCCAAGTTTGAGAAACCTGGACAGATACAGCTCAGTACATTTCTAGCTCTAAAGACAGTTTTGACACCTGCTACAGCACATTTTATAATATGTTGTAACCTATGCCATCTATACCCACTCTGAATACATTCCATCAGCCTTGCCCACACTGTACAGCTAACTCTCTAACTTATTTGTATGTACTGACACTCTTACCTTTGGAGGACACCACATCCTTTCAACATTGTCAGGGACCATGGGCTGAGGGTGAGGGGTGTTCAGTTTGCTGGAGTTGGTGGTGGTCCTTGTTTTGTTTTGACCGTGTTGTGTTTTGAATGTGACACACACCTACAATATACCTACATGCTCATACATTTGAACCCTTGCCCCACCCCCAGCTTGCAGCTATCCTTGGGAAGGTTGTGGGACTCTTAACAGGAGAAGCCTCCCTGGAGGAAGTGAGTCACTGGAGCCGGCCTAGAGGTTTTGTAGCTCACCCCTGCTTCCTGTGAGCCATCTTCCTTCTGCTGAAAGGTGACCAGCTGCCTTCTTCACACCCCTGTCTGTTAAACACAAACCTAGACATTACCATGGAAGAAGGATCTTAATTGAGAAAATGCCTCCATGTGATCACCTGTAGGCTAAGCAAGTCTGTAGGGCCTTTTCTTGATTAAGGATTGACCTGGAGGGGCCCAGCTCCTTGTAGGTGGTGCTGCTGGCAGTTAGGTGCTTCTGGGTTCTGTAAGAAACTAGGCTTACCAAGCCAAGGGGAGCAAGCCAGTAAGCAGCACCCCTCTGCATCAATTCCCACCTCTAGGTTCCTGTCTTG